AAGACTCAATTTCAGTTCCATACCATGGAATAGACACCTCCTCATGCTTGCCTGCCCTTACGTCTCAGTTTAAGCATCACCTCCTCCAGGAAGGCTTCCAAGATATCAAGTCTAGGTTATGACTCCCTTCCAAGTTCACTTTGCCCCTGTGCTCTCCCAGCCAGCATCCACCTAACCCAGTAGGCCACTCCCTCCTCCTTTACACACTACCCACACTCCCTCTCAGGCCCCTACACTCCTAGTTCTCCTGCTTCCTTGACCACGGCTCTTGGGATCCTTTGCTGGATCTTCCTCATCTCCACCTCTTAATGTGGGTCCCCAGAGCTCAGCCCTTGGCCCCATTTCATGTTTACACTCCCCTTGGAGACTCATCCAGTGTCTCAGGCCTCAGATGCCTTTCCACACTGAGGATGCAACGTCATCTCTCCAGCGCCGGCTTCTTCCTTCACCTCCACACTTGCAGATGCGACTGTCCTGTCAACTTCTCCACATGGATGACCAACTGGCATCCCAACTTAATACACCCTCAGCTGAACTGCTGACCCTCATCCCCCAAACAATTTTCCCCTGGGCTTCTACACCACATACATAAGTGGTAACTCCATCCCTTGGCAATGTCTTTGTCTCACATCCTCTCACCCAAACCATCAGTCAGACTTAGCTCTGTTGTCATTGTTAAAGTGCCGTTGAATAGGTTCCAACTCATAGTAAACCTGCATAGGATTTCTGAGGAGCAGCCGCTGGGTTTCAACCACCGACCTTGTGGTTAGCAGTCCTGTGCTTATCCTACAGCACTACACTAGGATTTTACCTTTTAAATATATGCAGTACCCCACCACTTCTTAGCATCTCCGTGACAAGCATCATTGCTCTTACCTGAATGACTGCAGCAGCCTCAGACAGGTCTGGCTTCCATCTGCCCTGCTAATCTAGTCTCCATTTAGCAGCAGCAGGTGAGTCCTCTTAAAACATTGTCAGGTCAAGTAACTTGTCTGCTTACAGCGCTTTGTGGGCTCCTCGCTTCCAAGGTTCCACATCATCCATACCTCATGACCTCTCTGTTCTGGTCTGTGTTCTCCTCACACACTCCTCCCCTGCCACCCTAGCTTTCTTCTTGTTCCTTGAACTCACCAGCTATAATCCCACCCTCGGAACCTTGTAGGCCTTTTTTTTTTTTTTTTTTTTGTAATGTCTTTGTGTATGTGGTAAAATATAGGTCAAAAAACATTTGCTATTCCTAAAATCTTCTCATGTACGGTCTGGTGACATTATATTCATCTTGTTGGTCAACCATCACCATTAACTATTCCTCATTTTTTCCATCACCCTTAACAGAAGCTCAGTGTCCCCTGAGCCCACTGTAGGCCTTTGGTCAATGTCATTGTCACCTTCTCAGGGAGGTCTTCATTTAGTCCCTCCACAGTCCTCCACTGTGTCCCAGCACCATCTGATACTTATTTTACTTGATCATTGTTTCTCCTGCCACTAGAATGTCAGCTCTGTGATGGCAGGGAGTTTGCCTCTTTTGCTTACTGTTGTGGTATACCTTCTTGCTTAGCACATGGTATTATTGTTAATTGACAATCCTCCTCCCAGCCCACGTGGCCGATGGCGCAATCACGTCTTTTCTGTCCTGACTCAAGTTCATCAAGCTGCCTTGTGTTCTTCCTGGGTTCACACCCCTGGCCTCATACACAACATACACTTAGGCAATTTCCCTGCACAAAGAAGGTGCCTTCCCCAATTTCTTAATATCACCAGTGCCTTAGAGATGGATTCTAGTATGTTAGAAAGTCAAACCCAGAGGGGAAAGCTTATGCATCAAAAGAATCCTAAGACTATTATGTTATGTTGGCTAAAATATGTAGAATATGTTTGAGAAAGATTCTCTGAGGTCCTATTCCAGAGAGATAAGAATATATATTCAGACTGGATGGAATTTATGGGTCACTTAGCAGAGATTTTAGATTTGATTCTGTTGGCTCCAGCTGCTAGCGCTGTTTTCATTTCCGTTACTTGGCTGAATGAAAGCTGAGTCTCACTCAAGAAAGTCGGATGCCAAAAGTTCCCTGCTGTGGAGGAAAGAATCCGAAGGCTTAGAAAGAGTCATTCATTTGTTCAAGTTAAATGTTGGACAGAATTTTTCCTAGACAAATCACTTACCCTTTCCCAAACTGAGTCCCTGGAAAGGAGCCCGGAAACTCTCCCTTCACCAAGGCCTTGGAAGTTTATCGGTGTACAGAGTGACTTTGAAGAGTGTCAGAGTCACTGTGCTCTGTAGAGGTTATTGCTATTGCTGGTAAGTGCCATCAAGTCAGTTCCGACACATAGCAACCCTGCACAGGGTTTCCGAGGAGCAGCTGGTGGGTTTGAATCACTGCCCTTGTGGTTCGCAATCCAGGGGAAGGTACTACAGTTCAAACAGCTACTTGACACCAGAACCGTGGGGCAAAAAGAGGCCAATCCCAGTGTTAAACTGTCAGAGGAGAGGCAGGTGTGTTGACTCATGCATGCCAATAGGACTTGCAGGCAGTCAGAATGGTCATCAGACCCCTAAACAAAAATGGATGGAGATATCAAAAGTACTCAAAGCTCAATCAGCAGAGGCCTTAATGAATCAATTTTCCAGACAAAATCACAAACCCAGGGGCCCCTGAAGGAAGTGAGGTGGTTGACCATGAAGGAGAACCCTGTGAAGATGGCACAGGTTCACGCTGGCATTTTCCTCAGGTCTATCTCCCGACACCTTCAGCTATTAACTACGCTAAGCAAATACCATTTGTGGTCTACCACAAAGGCATTTCTCCCTTTTAAGAAAATAATTTTGCTCATACAGTAATGTGCCCAGCCCCCATGGGATAACTAATGATTGGTCTAAACCAAACATGACAATATTCCCCTGTAAAGGAGTTCCTGGTGTGGTGTCATAGGATAAGCACTCGACCTCAAGGTCAGAGGTTCAAACTCACCAGCCTCTTCTTGGAAACCCTATTCAGAGTCGCTATGAGTCAGAACCAACTTGATAAGGGTTGTGTGCGGGGGTAATGGACAAGGGGAGGATTAATTGGATCTGAAGAAAAATTCAGATAGTGGATACCCCCGTAAATGTACTTCTTTGTAAGGAGTGAAGGCCCAGAATACTAGTCAGCCCAGAAAACACTTGAGTGTGCCCCTGCCCATAGATGCCAGACCCTGGGCTCACTTCAGGGCAAGACAATATCTTTTCCAGAGAAATCTGCATGGGGGTAGGGGCTAAACCCAGGATCCTGACATAGCCAGGAGACAGATCACAAAGTGGAGAGTCTGCAGAGCTGACCAGAAAGAACACCTCACAAAATGGAGAGCTGGTGACGAAAGAGAACCTGAAATTGTATTTTATAAAAAGCATTTATTGCAAAGAATGCTGGACACAGTGTGATGTGTGGCTGAGGTTTGATGCCATCCATCTCTAGAAAGCAGGAAACCGTCTACAACACAAGTACATCAACTACCACAGTTACAACATTGCACCTGCTGACCCAGCATGGCACTGCCCACTTGCAGGCAGAGGGCAGGGAGAGGGACTACCCCATCCATGCTGTGATCCTGACCCCTCAGACACTATCTGTGTACTGGACAGTGGGAAGGCCTCAGTGGTCTCACCTCAGTCAGTTAGAGGCCCTGCTGCTGACTGACAGGAGCGGCTATGACTAACAAGTAAACAAGTCCAGGTGACTACAAGTCACCCAAATCCAGGGGCCACAGTCCCAATGTATAGATGACAGAGGCATGGTCCTTTGGCCCCAGGTTTAAGCAAGAGGCTCTTAGGGACACGAGTGCTAGCCCCTCCCTGCTGACAGGGACTTGGGGCTCTGAGAAAAAGTCCTGAAGGATGACCCTGCTCTCTTTGCCTATGTCTGTCCCCAGCTGCTGTTGACCATGAGGCGAAGAGACCACCAGCATGGGATCAGGGATGCTGATTCCTCTCAGGAGCAGTGGTACCCACAGGTGGCAAAGCCCTAGGGGTTTAGGAAGGGGTGGGCTGCTCTATTAGCACTAGATCAGGAAACGTTCCAGGGACAAAGTGAGCTTCGGGATCCTGGGCCTGGCTTACCTGACTAACGTCTAGCCACTTTCTCACCCAGCCCCACAACTTGTTGGCTGGCAAGTCGCCCCCTCCCCAGTCTCACAGGGAGAGGTCAGCAAACACCCAGAACAGTTGCACTGGCCCATGACCAGTTTTCTGAAGAATATAGGGCACATGCATGTGTCCACCCCCAGCGCAGGCTCCCAGTGTGGACAGAGCAGCAGGCGAGGGCCACTCCTCCCAGCATTCTGCCCTGTGGGGAAGAGAGGGTACATGGCAGCCTCTTCCTGAGCACTTCGGTGTGAGCACCAGGAGGGGCAACTCAGACAACTGCCCCCCGGTCTTTAAGTGGTTTCACTGCGAGGGCAGTTGGGAGAGGCGGCCTTGATCACAGTGTATACCCAAACAGGGAGAGGGAGGTCACCACAGTGTTCCCTTCCCTGCACGTTTCTGTGCATTCCACATGCTAAAGGGAGCATGTTGCTTTCCTGAAGGCCCACATTGCTGGTAAAGCAGACATAAGGCCTGGTTAGTGGCTGTCCCAGGATGCTGCTGCCTGGGCTAAATCTCTTCAGTTCCCAGTAGGAAAGTATGAGGTGGTGGAAGTTCCAAATCCCAGGAAGTGGCCACAGAAGACAGCAAAGACCCCCAGGGCCAGGGCCAGCCCAGGCAGTAGGCCACAGTGGAGACAGCACAGCAGTGACAGTGAAGCTCTTCCCATTTCACATTTTAGGGGTTCACACTTTGCAAAGCCGGTGAGAGAAGACACCAAAAAGTCATAACAAAAGAACCAGGTGCTGGGAAATCATTCACTAGGCCACCCAAGCGATTCTTAACAGCAGGTCAGGAACCCCATACAGTCTATTCACTGGTCACTATGAACACAGGGGTGGCTAGGCTGGGGCAGAAACTCTGGCCACCACCAGCACATGTGATGGCTGTCACATGGACTCAGGGCCCTGGAATGACATCTGCAGAGATGGAAGCCTGCCCAGAGGTCCTAGTGGATGAGACACAGTCATTGGTGAGCAGGAACCGTGACGAGAGCTTCCTCTGGTGGCCTTGAGATGTCTACATTCTGCACAACACAAACACAAAGAACATCACCCTTCAACAAGAAGTAGGCAAGACAACCATTACCCGTGTTCCTCATCACTGCAACCATCCTAGCTCACTTCCTCACCCGACAGCCCCGGCCACAGGACTCCAAGATCTCCCCCAAGAATGTTGGGTCAAGGGTATCTCAATCGATGTGGCGGTGGGCAGACAGACAAAGGTGGAGGTGGGAGAATTCACCGGCTTCCGTTCTGTCCTCAACACTACTGGGCCACAAACAGATGGACATGTGTTGGGTCCTCTACTGCAGACAGGTCAGGTGTTAACCAGAGACACACTTTCCCTACCTCCTATCTCAGGGTCTTGCATCCTAGTCAGTCGGGGCAGGAAAGGGAAGACCAAATCCTGAGGGTCCTGCCCTCCTGGCTCTAAGTGAGGGTGGATGTGTGTCAGTTGTAGCTCCAGCAAACCTCAGACATCTCCTAGTCTACAGCATGGTCTGTCTCCTCAGGGCCATCCCCGAGGCCCTCAGCTACAGTCACCCACCCACCCCCGCCCCCAGTCACAGAGACTAATAGCATCCACAGCCTGCTGAGCTCAAGAGGTCTCAGACCCTCAGCTCCTATCACCTCAATCCTAATGACCCATCGGCCTGGCTGGAGGCCTTCACAACTATCACCTGTAGGAGCAGATTACTGTTGACCTGGGTGGCAGCATGACACACCCAGATCCCCAGGCAGGAAGCCTGGCCTCTGTGACCACACCAGGTTCACAGGACTGACATTGGAGTCATAGGGGCAGGGACAATTCCCATGGTGGAGGACGGCTTCCTGAGAACCCTCTTCCCATCACAGACTGCTCTCAAGAACGGGTCAGGAGTCCCTGGGATTCTGTACACCTGAAAAGAAACTATCCGGGAACACTGTGGCCAGCAGAAGTGGGCCTCTCCGAGGGACCACACTGAGGCCAGATAGAGTGGCTGCCAGCTGCTGCCCTGAGGACCAGCCTCTCCTACCACTATCCAGTGGGGGCTGGGTTCCACACTGTGTGGGCTCCCCTCATCACCAAGGATGCCTGTAAGGACATGTTTTCCTCTGTGAACTGTGATCAGACTGGGCCTACATCAGACTCGGCCAAGACATGGATAAGACCAGACTCTTAAGGCAAATCAGAAAGCCCTGCATAGTGATGCCCTAGCAAGGGTCAGCAGCCCACACGTCTCTGCCTGCAGGGGTTATGGCCAATGTGATACAGGTAAGCAGAGGCGCATATATTCTGGTCCAGCGCAAAGCCTGGACCCTTGTACCACCATGGTTGGCAACCAGCAGGACTGGGTCTAGAAGCCTGCTCTGTGCACTGGACTCTGGGAACTGGAACTGGGACCCCAGAAAGGGCAGTCCTGCCCTCAGCCCCAGTAGCCGACCTGGGGATGGAGACCACATAGGCAGTGACAGTGATACTCTGAGGAGCTGTTACCTTAAACAAGGCATCTGGGCAACACAGGCTGTCAGCATCTGCATGCCCTGACTCCAACAAAGCACACTACTGTTAAGAGTTTCTAGGGGTTTTTAAGTTGTAAAAGGTGCTCATGAGACCTGGGGGAAGAGGCATGGAAGAATTTTCAACAGCCCCCTTGTAGGCCCCACTAGGGCCTCATTCCTCAGCTTAGATTTCACCTGGAAGTCCCTCAGGTCCCAGGAACCACCACACCCAGGCTCAGGCGCATCCCAGCTTGGTAGTCAGTTTCCAAGGATTCCCCGTCCCCCTGCTCTCAGGGCAGCAGGCCTTGAGAGCTGACAGATAACTCAAACTCATTGTGGCAGGCACCCCAGGTAGGCCTGGCCCTGGGTATCCCCAGGAATATGCCTGCTACCCCAACAGTGATCCCATTGCTACCTGAGGCCGTTCCCGGTGCGTGTTCACAGCTTCCACATTCAGGAATATGGACTCCACTTTACAACCTGCCAAAGGGAAGAGATCAATCCATTTAGCCTCCCAGTCTAGTTCACACTCTACCGGGCTCCCAAACCACCCACACCCCAACCCTATCACACGTGCCCAAACCAACTGCAGGAACAATGTACCAGGCACTCAGTACCATAGAAGGCAAAAGGATTATCACACTTAGGATCGATGTCAACCATCACTGAGCTTTATTCTCCCCCAATGCTGCAGCATCTCCCTGAGTGGGGCCTGGTGGACTGTGTTAAAGATGAGGAGGTCAAGGTCCAGGGGTTAGCAAGTACAGTGAGCTACTGAGGGGCAGAGGTGACCTTCAGATCTGGGACCTGGGGACTTAGACGCTGTCTGGTGGTTTCAGAGGAATCTGAGGAAAAGCCCTTCATGCAGATGAGAGAGGGTGGGGAGGTCTCTGGAGAGGCTTCTGGGGCCACAGACAGGTCCCTCAGACATCTTTTAAAACAAAATCCTTACAGGCAGTGAGGTGAGGGGAGAGGGGGTTGGCACCTAGTGGAACTGTGACAGATTTGCAGAAAACCACAGAACCCTGCAGTGAATCAAGGACAAAGTGCAGGACACTTCCTCACCATAAGCCATGGGGGTCAGCTTCAGGGCTGTGTGCAGTGGACACTTGAGGTATGGCAGCTGTTCTGTGAACACAGACAGGGAGGGTGGGCATGCTAGGGATGATCTGCGCCACCCCCAACCCCCACACACCTCCCCAAGGGCAGGGCGCACACCTGCCGCCTTGTCAAGGAAGTAGGCCAGGAGGCAACGCATGACGGCTTGGTGGCAGATGACGAGCACATTCTCCTGCCTCTCCAGTTCCATGATGACAGGCTCCAGCCGCTGGACGAGGTCCTCGTAGGACTGTACACACAAGCAGGGCAGGGGAGGGTCCCTCAGGCTCACAAGTGCCCTGGAAACCTGAAACCTCCCCTCCTCTCCCCCAGCACAGGGGTCAGAGGTAGGGACAGCTGGATAATGAGCTACCTCCCCAATGCTGGGACTCCTCTTAAGAAGTGTGGTAACGTTTCCCCAGACCTGGCTGGAAAGAGAATGGGGGTGGGCAGCTCACTGCATAGACCAAAAGCTTGGCAGGAAGTTGGGGGGGGGGGGGAATCGGTCAGTGGGCAACCTGGGAAAAGGCCAGGTCCTCACAGGATTTTGAGGCCTGATCCTCCCTGAGGCTGATCCCATGCAGCCAACTCTGAACAGGCATGTTCTCAACAGCTGGAATTCACATGATTGGTGGAAAATACACTGCTCCCCTCCAACCCACAGCAGATGGAGGGGGAGGAAGTAAGGAAAGCAAGGGCCCCTGCCACTTCCTGGAGTTCAGCAGGCCTGAGTATCTGTCGTCCTGTACCTCCTCCAGCTGAAGCAGCCAGTGAGGGAGAGACACTGGACCTCTCTGCCTGTCTTCCGGCCAACCCACAGCCTGGCAGGTCTAGACATTTTTACCAGAAGCCCAAGCACTGGTTGAGTTTCATCCCTCTTTGCACACAGTGGGCATTCCTTCTGAAACGGGCACAACAATCAGAACTGGGTTTGTTCTATGCTTTGATTAGGGAGCTAATCGCTGGGTATTCCATGGAAGCTCCTAGATTAATGCTTCTGAGAACTGTCATTTCCCTGCCAATACCTCCCCTCTCCCACCCCACCCCCATCCTCATGTGGAAGCAGTCAGATGCTTTGCTTCTTTTATCTAGGATAGTTCTAAATCCGAACTTACCCAGGGCCATTCATTTATTTGCAGGAGAGATCACAGGAAAGGTACCTGTGAACCTGGTATCTGTATAGTATGGCATCTACATGTATACATGTGTGCACACACAGGTCTGTGAGGAGTATTTTTATTTGGTTACTGTCCTAGACTACCTCTTGGAAGTAGTGGGGAAAGCAGGAACTGAAGACGGCACCCAGTTTCTGACCTGGGCTGACGAGGTAGCCTCAGAGAGGGTGACAGGTAGAAGGGAGGTCTCCCTGGGTCTGGACTCGGGTGAGGGTAGTGCCAGGAAGCCCAGGAAAGGGACACAGGTGAGCTAATCCATCCATAGGCAAAGTACAGTATCCCTGAGTCCACAACAACTTGAATACCCCACAAAGTGCTGACAGTTCCCTAGGATAGAAGCTGGCCTGGGGGAATCACCTATGAGAGACCTAGGAAGGCTAAGCCATGGAACCAGGACCACTTAGCTCAGACCTCCGCCCTTTGGAAGGTGGATTCTGATAGATCTCAAAGTCTCAAGGCCTACACAGCACAGTCCAACTACCACCTGAGGAAGCGGCTGAGGCCATAGTCACACTGCTGGGCATGGTGGGGTTGAAACAAGACACCCAGGCCAGCCTGCCCCTGAGGCTAGCCTCCAGCTACTGCCCATGCACCCTATGCACAGCACTGGACTGCTAACTATAAGGTCAGCAGCTCAAGGCACCAGCCTCCTTACGGGAGAAAGATGAGATGGTCCTTGTAAGATTTACAGCCTCAGAAATTCTGTGAGGCAGTTCTACCTGTCCTGTAGGGTCAGATAGCATTTGATAGCAGTGAGTGATTGACAGGGCCCTCGGCTCAAGCAGTACCTTGCTGTGGTTGTTAAGTGCCATCAAGTTGGTTTCAGCTCATAGTGACCTTGTATAGTTTCCAAGGAGCAGCTGGTGTGTTTGAACCGCTGACCTGGCAGCATTTTAGGACAGGCCTAAGTCCCAGAACCTCACTTACCTCCCCCTTGGGATACCGGTACCGGTACTTGTCCTGGTCCCGCAAGGCAAATTCCAGTGGATAATGTTCCTGAATTTCTTCATAGGTCATTTCCTCACAGACGCCCTAGGAAGACACCAATTCATCATACCCCTCAGGCTAGAGAGAGCAGCCCTGTCTAGGCTTTCTGAGAATACTGTGCATGGAACAGCCCTCTTGTTTGTAAAAAACTACCAGAAGAGTTTTGCCTGCCCACTTAATTCATCTATCTATTCATCCATCCATTCAGTCTATGCCACAAAGACAAACTCAGAAATGTTACTCTTATATCTTTTCTGTGCAGTGGAAACACTGTTTCTGAGAACTGACTGTTATGCAAACTATAAAGCAAGAAGACATCATTGTGTTGTTTGGAACACATATATACAAAGAACATAGATTCTCTTCTACTACTGTCATTACAAAAGAGCAGAGTAGAATGCTGGTTAAAAACACTGTCATTAAAGGGTCCAGAGAGGCCCAGAGCAATTTTGGCAATCACTTCCTTAGCTATGACCACCTGTGACTCAGTCCACATTAGGACCAGCATGATGGACCACTTGCCAAGGACCTGTGAGGAACAACAACTTCTCTCCTATCTAATCTTCAGTCAGGAGCCCAGAAAGACATCTGAACTGACCTGTATCCATCTTCCCTGGCTCAAGTCAAGAGAAGACATGCTAGGAGAGAAAGAAGAAGTAAAATTCCTTTTTGAAAAAAGTTGCTGGGCTCTACCATCATGCATGTGTGGCTGCCTTTCATCTTTGCTATGTCTTTTCATAAGACTTTCAGGATCAAAAGATTCCTGGCCAAGAAACAAAAATAGGAGCTCAGGCCCTGTCTGGGCTTTCTGAATATTGCCCCATTCTCTAGTGGATTTGAATGAAAATTGGCAATCGGGCCACATACCACTCTAAGAGAAGACATTGGAGAAGAACCAAGCTGGGTTTGTAAGGAGTCATACATGTGATGGCACACATAACTTACTAAGGTTCTGCCTGATCAAGGTCATCAGCATTCCACCAAATCAAGTTTAAAATTTCACCACAATCATCTGATCAACTGAATATACATTGGAGATGTTCTGGTTACTTCCTTGGTTTTTATGATTCTGCTTTAAGAGGTTGACTAAAAATATGTGAGGCCTTTGGTTTTGGGGTTGGGGGTAGGTGTTGGTCTCTTTTAAGTTTTTCTTTACAAAGCTTTGGTGCACAGCTGTCTCTTGGAAAGGAAAGACAATCCACAGAATGGGAGAAAGTATCTGTAAACCATATTATCTGATAAGGGACTTGCATCGAGAAAATATAAAGAATTCTTATAACTTAATAATAAGTTATAAGACAACCAAATTAAAAAGGGGGAAAGGATCTGCATAGACTATTTTTCCAATAAGCACATGAAAAGCTGTTCAACATCACTAGCGATCATGGAAATCAAAATCAAAATCACAGTTAGATACCACTTCACACCTACTATAAAGGCAAGAAGCAAAACAGAAAATAGCAAGTGATGGTCAGGATAAGGAGAATTGGAATCTTCATGGAAACATGAGAAAATGCAACGACTTTGGAAAACAGAGTGACACCGTGGCTGAAGGGTTAAATATAAGAGGAAGCATGAGGTTGTTATTGTTGCTAGGTGACACTGAGTCACTTCCAACTCATAGTGATCCTCTGCACAACAGAAGGAAACCCTGCCTAGTCCTGTGCCATCCTCACAATTGTTAGGTTTGATCCCATTGTTGTTACCACTGTACCAATCCATCTCACTGAGGATCTTCCTTGTTGTCACCGAACTTCCATTTTACTAAGAAAGACCAGTCTTGCTCCGGTGACTGGTCTCCAGGGACTGGTCCTACAACATGGCCAAGGTATGAGAGACAAAGTGTTGCCATTAGCAATCCAGTCATATTTCTTCCAAAACAGATGTGTTTGCTCTTCTAGCAGTCCATGATTTAGTCAATATTCTTCACCAATGCCATAATTCGAAAACACCTTCTTATTCATTGCCCAGCTTTCACATGCATAAGAAACAGCTGAAAATACCAGGGCTTGGACTAATCTTCAAATTGACATTTTGCTTTTGAACAATTTAAAGAATTTTCTTTTTTTTTTCAGAAGAGTTGCCTTATGCAATACACTGATTACTTTTCTGCTGCTTCCATGAGTACTGATTGTAGATTCTAAGCAAAATGAAGTCTTTAACTACTTCAATTCCGTTTATCATGATGGTATTTACTAGTCCAGTTGTGAGGATTTTCCCTTTCTTTACACTGAGGTACAATCCATACTGAAGGTTGAAGTCTTCGAACTTCATCAGTAAGTACTTCAAGACCTTTTCACTTCCAGCAAGCAAGACTATGTCATCTGCATGTGCAGGTTGTTAATGAGTCTTCCTCCAATCTTGATGTCATGTTATTCATACAATCCAGTTTCTCAGATTATCTGATCAGTATACAGACTGAATAAGTATAGTGAAAGGACAGACCCTGACACACACCTTTACTGATTTTATACCAAGTAGTATCTCCTTGATCTATTCAAACAAATCCTATTGGTCTATGTACAGGTTCCTCATGAGTGTAATTAAGTGGTCTGGAACTCCCATTCTTCCCAATGTTAACCATAGTTTATGATCCACACAGTCAAATGCTTTTGCATAGTCAATAAAGCACAGATAACCATCTTTCTGGTATTCTCTGCTTTCAGTCACAATCCTTCTGACACTGAAATTCTATTCCTAGGTATTTTTATTGTTGTTGTGGTCTTGTCCTATCAAGTCTATTCTGACTCATGGTAATCCACAAAAGAAATGAAGTTATATAGGATTTTCTTGGCAACAATCTTTACAGAAGTACATCACCAGGCCTTTCTTCTATGGTGTTGCTGGGTGGATTCAAACAGCCAAACTTTAGGTTAGTTGTTGCTGTTGTTAAGTGCCATCGAGTTGGTTCCGACCCATAGTGACCCTGTTATAGGGTTTCTGAGGAATGGCTGATGAGCTTGAACCACCAACCTTGTAGTTCAAACAACTTTGCAGTCTGGCACATTAACCCACAGCACCACATCAAGACTCCATTAGTCCAATATAATTCTCAATCCAAGAAGGATAAGTATAAAGAAGTATTTCAGTGTAAGACTCTAAAAGTTAGAATGCTTTATTATCACAACTAAAATACACAAAACAAAACCCTGGGGTTTTCTTCATATAATTTAGTTAGGAAATGTAATGGATGTTGTATCCAATCAACAGACAACAGATCTTCCTATAAAGGGCCATGAGATATTTTTGAAATTTTACCATAAAATATGGCACTATATGATAAGCACTGGAGTTCTAAGGCAAAGTTGGCAGTTCAAACTCACCAGCCTCTCCTTGAAAATCCTACAGGGTTGCTGTGAATCAGAACTGACTTGACGGTGCTTAAAAACAACAAACAACAAAGAAATCCTTAAGAAATCCCAAAGCTAAAATTACAAGTCACATTCCCTGTTACAACACAATAAAACCAACCAGAAGAAAACTTTAAATGATATCATTATTCAAGAAGAAAGAATTACTATAAGTGGCTTAGGCAATAAACTTCACAAGTTAAAAAAATCTAAGGAAGTAAGCAAAACGAAAATCATATAGACGAAACCAAAACAAATTATAGAAACAGAAAAACTAAGAATTAATGCTATCTGAAATCTGACTCTCTGGAAAGGATGCCATGAATGACTAATCTCCGACAAATCTAATTAAGACGTGTAGGCAGAGTCTGTGACTAACTTCTAATCAAAAGAATAATGCAGAAGAACAAAGTTGGAGGCCTCTCACTCCCTGATTTCAAATTTTACTGCATGGCTACAGTGGTCAAAACAGCCTGATACTGGTACAATGAAAGACACATAGATCAATGGAACAGAATTGAGAATCTAGAAATTAACCCATCCACATACAGCCAACTGATCTTTGACAAAGGACCAAAGTACATTGAGTAGAGAAGACATAGTCTCTTCAACAGATGGTGCTGGCAGAACAGGAAATTGGTATGCAAAAGATTGAAACAAGACCTTTACCTCACGTCATATACAAAAACCAACTCAGCATTGATTAAAGACCTAAATGTGAATCCCAGAATTATAAAGGTCATCAATGAAAAACTAGGGACAAATTTAAGGGCTCTAATCCAGGGCACACACAGACTACCAAACATTGCGAAAATTACACAAACTAAGGAAGACAAAATAGATGATTGGGACTTTCCAAAAATTAGAAACTTATTTGCATCAAAGGAATTCACCAAAAGAGTAAAAAGCGAGTCCACAGAATGGGAAAAAATCTTTTGCAATGACACATCAGACAAGGGACTAATTTCTAAAATCTATATGAAACTACAACAGCTCTACAAGAAAAAGACAAGTAACTCAATTTAAACAGACACTTCACCAAAGAATACATATGGGTAGCCAACAAACATATGAAGAAATGTTCATGGTCATTAGACGTTGTTGTTGTTGTTAAGCGCTGTAGAGTTGATTCTGACCCATAGCAACCCTGTTTCTGAGGAGCAGCTGGTGAGCTTGAACTGCCAACCTTGCAGTTCAAACGGCTTTGCAGTCTGGCACATTAACCCACAGCGCCACACTAGGAGTCAATGTTGTTGATGTTGTTAAGTGCCGTCGAGTTGATACCGACCCATAGCAACCCTGTATAGGGTTTCCAAGGAGCAGCTGGTGAGCTTGAACCACCGACCTTGCAGTTCAAACAACTTTGTAGTCTGACACATTAGCCCACAGCACCACACGAGGACTCCACCAGGAGTCATTAGAGAGATGCAAATCAAAACAACAATGAGATATCATCTCATACCAGCAATAACAGGGAAGTTCAAAAATGCAGAAGACAGTAAATGCTGGCGAGGATGTGGAGAGACTGGGACCCTCCTACATTGCTAGTGGGAATGCAAAATGGTCCAACCACTCTGGAAAACAGTATGGCGCTTCCTTAGAGAGTTGGAAATAGAAATATCGTATGAGCCAGCAATTCTTCTACTTAGTATATATCCACAACAAATACGAGCCAAAACACGAGTAGATACATGC